GGACCAACCAGACCCTAGAACAGTACCTGCGTTGCTACACATCCTTCCTACAGGATAATTGGCTACCACTCCTACCCCTGGCGGAGTTCGCGTACAACAACGCCAAACCATTCCGCAACAGGGCAATCACCGTTTTTTTCAAACTACGGATTTCACCCTGTCTTTCTCCCTGACTTGGTCCCTGAATGCCCAGTTCCGGCGACACAGGACACGCTAGCTTTCTTCTCCTCCAACAATAAGATACTACAGGAGGCTATTGCTCGGGCCCAGGAGGACTACAAGAAGGCGTTTAACAAAAGACAAAGAGGGGACCTAGTGCTGCAGCCCGGGGATAAAGTGTGGTTGGCAACAACGAACTTGAAAATGCTATGTCCATCAAAGAAATTAGGACCAAAGTTCATAGGCCCCTTTTACATAAAGCGGGCGGTCAATGAGGTGGCATACGAACTTGTCCTCCCCGACACACTCAAGATACACCCGGTCTTCCATGTGTCCTTGCTGAAACCAGTAATCCCCGATGCCTTCCCAGAACGAGAATCTCGACCTCCGGAGGCCATAACGGTCGAAGGAGAAGAAGAATTTGAGGTGGAAACAATCCTGAAGTGCCGAAGGAGGGGGGGTCAGACCCAATTTTTTTAAATGGAAGGGGCTATGGCCCTGAGGATAATTCATGGGAACCAGCCCATAATGTCCATGCACCCCGACTTGTCCGGAGGTTCCTTCGTGATCACCCGTGGTGGAGAGATCGGGTGGGCACCCGGAGGTTGCCCGTAGGGGGGGGGCAATTCAGGAATCCCCGCTGCGACGGGCTCGGCGCAGGCGCAGTGCACTGCCCCGTGTCAGAATGCGGGCACTGAGACCTGGCCGTCCGCGGCGAGGGAGTTCGCGCATGCGCAGTAGGGACCGCGGGCGCGCGCGCGTGGCACCAATGGCAGCGCAGGGCGGGATATTTAAACGGCCCTGAGCTGTCATTCAGTACCTTCTGGTCTTTCCTTGTATCCTGTATCTGCGAACCTGTTCTAAGTAAGTTATTGACCCGGATTGTACCTGACCTTGTTGCCTTCTCCTGCCCAGACCCTTGCTTTGCCTGACCTCTCTCCTGAATGCCCCCGTTTGGATCTGACCTTCCGTTGCTGACCTGGCGTGTGACCCGACTACTCTCTGCCCGCTGCCTTGTACTGCTCCGTCCCCACTGTTACCGACCCGGCCCGTTTGACCCCGCACTTGCTCAGCCATCCATCCATCCCGACGGGATCACCCGACCTCCTCACATCAGGCTCTTCCTGCGGGAGCCCCTGGCGAATACCGCTACCACTGACAGGCGTGCTCAGTAGCCACGACCTGGTCTCGGGGTACTTCAAGTCCATCCCCACCATCAGGGGCTCTGGTGAACACGTACCCTGGGGCTTAGATACCGTGCGCTGGGGACGCCTGGCCAGTGGAGTGCTAGTGGTACCGCCTGGTGGTCCCTTACACTAACTTTCCCTTTTCCGCTTACTTTCTCCCCCTCCTCCTCACCTACTCCTCTGAGCTGACGGGTGGAACTCCATCAAAACGCCCCATTTGTATACTTGTAGACCCAGTCAGCTAGAGATCCTTTCCAAAACACCACCCTACTCCTGTTTATGTGTCTTTCAACACCTACTGCATGCCATAAGCTCGCATCAGGTGGGAACGTTAATTTGAGCGGAGATTCAAATTATGTCCTTTTCCTTTTCCTGGATAGGTCAGATTCTTCCCAACCCTTTCAAATCAGGCAACCCACCTATGCATGCTCCTCTCTCTACATGCTCTGGCCAAATGCTGGTGGAAGCATCACCAATACCTAAAGAGCATTTGTTTTTCCCACCTGGACAACTTGTTTTCCTGCATTGACCACATTTTAATGTCATACACCATGCTTACTTTGGTGGTAGATGTATGCCTTTTACTGGTTTCATGGACAGATCATTTGGCGGTGTTTGTTACACTTTCCTCTCTGCTGGCTGTAGGAACTGATCTCACTTGCTCCCTACTCTCTGAAAAACCTCAAAAAACCTATTGCAATCACTTATAACCAGCGCTAGGATACTACTAATAGATTGCACAAATCTGCTAAAAAATATATACAAAGAAATAGAGCTGCTGCTTCTATAAAGGTACTGACCTTTAAGTTAAATGTTAAAGCAATGCAGCGCTGCCCCATAAACTTGCAAAATGCCTCAACTTGTACATATTATTAAATTCATGAAATGTGCTCTCTCTAAAAATCCACCATCAACATAATTATGTAAACAAATAATTCATAAATTTATATTAATATAGTCTCTTGATATGCAAACGTGAAATAATTCTTCATAGTGCAAACGTGCAGTGATTCTTCATAAAGTGCAACAAATCCTTAGTGCTCCCCTCCTGTGGTCCCACTTGCTCACCAGCTCCCGTGGACTTTTATAAGAACAAGAGTCTATTGCGCTCATATAGGCTCATCTGGGATTTGTAGTCCTCCTGTGGGTCCGATCCTTGTTCTATTCTCAGTTGTCAATTTCCCATTCCTGAGAATAAGCTCCTTATAAAGTAGTAATTAAAGAGAAGAAGGGGCCCATAGATTTGCTATCCGCAATTGATTATGGTTGCACCCTTGGATCGGAAGTCACTTCTGAATCCTATCACGTGGCACTCCCTGCAGCTCTGGGATGGTATCAAATATCCGTGTGGTCTGCTTTCCCCCCAATCTTTAATTATTCTCCATCATCTGCAATCCCGCTTTCCCTCCAGCCTATGAATCACCTGAAGTTTTCAAGTACTAGATAGCTTCCAAAGTAACTTGCCTCCATTCTCTGTTGACTCCTAGCGGTTTTAAATAATTTACAGACCTACAAAGGTCCCATCGCTTACCCTCTACCAAACTTTTCTAATATTTTCAGGTCAAACACTATGTGACGTCAACTTAAGGGGGGGGGGGGGCTCCTTAACGCAAAAATGACCCACACTCAGTGGGGCTAATGCCTTTGCTATAAGGCACATTAACGTCTAAACAACAGGTTGCACCCCTAAGCTGTTTTGGCAAACTGGAAACTACAAATTGATCCTAAACACTGGACTCAAATTTGGGCCATCAGTCTTCCTCTTGCAACGCCACGGCGGTGGAGACTAATTACAAAGTATTTCTTCGGTGGTACATGGTGCCAACTAGGCTAGCCACTTCAACTCCAAGATATCCGCACACTACCATTCAGGCTGCTCAGAAACAGGCACCTTTATCCATATTTGGTGGACCTGTTCAGTGGTGTAACACTGATGGCGCCAGGTTTACCATATGCTAAGTATCCTCTTTAGTCAAGTGATACCATTATGTCCACTGGAGGCTCTTTTCAACCGTAAACCTGAGGGCTTATCCAAATTCCAATTCAAACTAATGATACCCATTCTTACAGCCACAAAACAAGAGATTGGAAAAGCATGGTTTGCGAAACGCCTGTAAATTTCAGTGGTCAAATTGCGAGTACACTGGACTTTACTCATTGAAAAACTTACCGCTAGACTCAAGGGTAACTTGTCCAAATTCCATCCAGTTTGGGAACCATAGATTTCCACCCACCTTCGACCCAACTTTGACTGCAGGTTAACAGACTTGTAATGATATTTGCCATGGCATACTCAGGAACATAAATGGCATAGTGTCTCCTGCTCAGATAACCTTTTCCCTATCTTTAACCCCTCTCCCGTCTAACTGCGGTCTTCTCTCCAAATTTCCCACATCTCCTCCCTGCCATTCTTTCTTTACTCTTTGATGCTCTCTCTTGTTCTGTATGAAAATGGCAAACTCTTCATTGCCTATTCGACACACTTTTTGCCATTGCTCCTTTTTCCTCTTAGGGCGATATGGCCACTATATTGAATTACAAATCCATGTGTGTCGCTCTTATGTCAATATATCTTTGTATACAAAAGCTCGAGAATTATATTTTGCTTTTGTCACTGTTCATCTTTCTTGAAAACTTAAAACAAGAAAGGTCTTTTTGTTCACCCTCACCAGGTCCTTCTCTTGGTGAACACTCAGAGCATATAATGAAAAAAATGCATAAGCAGAGGTTACCTTTACTGAAAACGAAATCCAGAAGTATTGGCATAATCAGATACAATTGCTTATCACTAGGGTGAGCAATGGAGGCTTGGGATGCTGGAGTGCGGAGTCAAGCTCAACTTTTATTGAAAATGTTAGGATCTGTCTATGACTTCAGCAGGTTATATCTCTGAATCTACTGACCATTCTGACATGCAGCTTTCACTAAAAGTAGCCACTACTTAAGCATTTTTTTCATCTCATTTTAATGTTTTTGACAGGGATAACCCTTTATTGCCACAGTTGTAAATATTACATGGCAGCAATGCACTTGTTAGCTGGCTTTCAAATTTTCAAGATGGCTTTTATGTTCATTGTTGTTGTAATGTCACTCAGTCAATCCTACATAACTTTCAGTTCTGAGCATTTCTGGGTTCAGAAGTGTCAAATCCTGGCAGTCATGTAACCAGTAGACTTTCTGTCCTTGATCTGCATGGCCTAAAAGAAGAGCAGGCAATGGAATTCCTCTATAAAAAAAAAAACAACAACAAAAAAAACAAACATATAAGGGGCTGACAAGCCCCCCTCAGGATAGTAATAAAGTTAAAGCCCATCTTCTGGCAAAATTGGCAGAGGAAGAAAAAAAATTCTAGGGTTAAATGCCAGCAATACAAATAAAATAAATAAAAGGCAAATTTTACAAACAGGTGACAAAAGTATTCAAAAAACTCTATTACATATATTCTGTAGTCTACTGCACAGCAGCATACACAATGGAAGAAGGAGAGATGGGACTGAAAGCCAGTCAGACTTTCCTAAATTGCACAGTCCTGTCATTTGAAAGTTAAGATAGTTCACATGCACTCATTACAGCTCTGCATCTAGCTGTTTGCCTGGATTCTGGTTTTGAGAATCCAAAATAAATCAAGAAATAAATAAATATAATTTAGCCTACCTCCCATTCTGGATATTCATGCTGCTTTAAATCTCCTTTGTGCGTTCCTGGAATAACCACAAGACATCCATTGCTACGGTCAATATGTTCCATTGCCGTCCAGGCACAAACAACACGTTCTGCTGGTCTGAATGGGAAATAGTGCAGATCTTGATGCATTGGATGACGAGAGGTCTTTTTACCTTGTAGGGAAGAACAAAATCTTGTATTCAGAAAGAATGGGAAGCAAAAAGTACTGCAAAGCTGTATATCAGTTTTTTATACTTCACAATTTTTTGTTTAAGATTGTGTTTATTCAAATTTTTTTTTACTAAAGTGTAAATGCAATAAGTATACATAGCACAGAACATTTATCAACTTCAAGTCAAAATGACATACACAGTGAGGCAAAGACAGACCACTAGTGTGGTCAGTGGGAAAAATGTAATCAGTGTGACAGCTGGATCTTACATCATTAAATGTTGTGGCTAATGTCCTGTAAGTAAAGTATAAGATAACAAGAAAGTACTGACATAGAGCGGGAACCACTAAATAAGCAACATTGTTTTACCTCCAATGTGTGTCAGGGATTTGTGGGAAAATGGTGTGCAGTCTACAGAGGCAATAATACCACCTAGGAAGGATTTTAAAATTCTTTTCCTGTAAAGAGCTGGCCAAGAGAATTTATGAAACAAACATGTTTTCCCTGAGAAGTCACACCCCAATTTCGTTCCCCATTCAGCCATGTAATATTGGATACTGATAAGAAAGGTCACTCTTTGTGTGATTATATCTTTTTGAACAGAGTAAGGGCTCTATGTATAAGGCCCCTTCAATGCAAAGAATAGTTAATGCCCCTGAGCTGAGGAGACATAAGTCAAGGAGTAGAACAATGGAGAAAATCTTAGTAAGTGAAGTTACAAATAACTCACATTATTCATTTTTTTTCGCTCAACCTGCTGGAACTGATTCCTCCATCCACACATTAGATGTGGATGGAGGAATCCTTCCCAATGAGTTATTGTATTCTGACAGCAGGAAGTCTTCCCTGCTGTCAGAACACTGTGATCAGTGTTGCTGGCTGTAGCTGACAGCATTGATCGATTGAGAAAAACTCCAAAGGCTGGCTGTACAGAAGTCAGTCGACGTCTGTACAACCAGGTGGACCATACATGAATCAAAATTCATCCACTCCCTGCTGAACCATCCCAATTTGATCCATGTATGGCCACCTTAGGACTACCCACAGATATAATGTAGTTTTCTTAACCCCTTGGTGCCGGCGCCTCCCGGCCCTTTAAGATTTCAGAAGCCGGGAGGCGGGGCGGGGTTTTAGGGTCATGTGACTGCCATGATTCACCGTCACAGCGGTCACATGATCGGGAAAGGTCCCAATCAAAAGAGGAGATCGAGACCTTTCCGTGAGTACCAGACGTGAGCTGGGAGCACGCAGGGTGAGCACTCTCAGCACATATGTTTCTCTTAATTGCACACAAATGTGTGGCCACTTTGCATCTAGGCCCAGACGCCGGAAGGCCGCACATTTGTGTGCGGCCGGCGTGAAGAGGTTAAGAAACAGGCCATTTCAAGTCCAATTTCTGTTTATTTAAAAAATATCTGTAAAATAAATGGATTTATCAAGGATGAACATTGCCACAATTTTTTTTTTGGCTAGAGAAAAAATATTGTTTATGTTACAGTCTTTTTTTTTTAGATCTATTTTTATTAATTGAAGTATAGATCCATGTACAGATATAATCAGACAACCACAATCTCCAATGGAGTGTAGCCTTAGTATCAACAAGTTACATCGTTATAATATAAAAGGGGTACAAAGTTATGTATAGCAAGGATATAACCATAGTTTCCAGATCCTTTTTTTGAAAAAGAGAAATAAAAAAAAAAACAAAAAAAAAAAAAAACGCAATTTCAAAATAGGCTGGGAAAAAACAGAAGGAAATTAAAATAGCACGAGTTATAAAATCAAAATAATTTTTAACAATTTAACGACAAAAACAAGAACCAAAAACCAGCCTTTTTCAAACTGAACTCCGAGAGTCAAACCTCCTCAGCTCATCCACGTGCAATGTAGTAAATAAAGAGTCTATCTAACTTTTTGCCAATAGTAGAGTTTTACCGTATGGATACATCTATATCCCAATTTTTAATCAAGGGTTGATGGAAGGATAGTTATCTCACAGTAGACCTGATGGGGTTCCACCACTTAAATGCGCAGGCGGAAAACAAGAAAAAAAATATTCTGAACCAATGGACTGCAGACATAGTACAGGAGATGACCAGAGACTGCGGACATAGTACAAGAGATGATCAGAGACTGCGGACACAGTACAGGAGATGAGACTGCGGACACAGTACAGGAGATGATCAGAGACTGCGGACACAATACAGGAGATGACCAGAGACTGCGGACACAGTACAGGAGATGACCAGAGACTGCGGACACAGTACAGGAGATGACCAGAGACTGCGGACACAGTACAGGAGATGACCAGAGACTGCGGACACAGTACAGGAGATGACCAGAGACTGCGGACACAGTACAGGAGATGACCAGAGACTGCGGACACAGTACAGGGGAGAGATGACCAGAGACTGCGGACAGTACAGGGGATGACCAAGAGACTGCGGACAGTATAGAGGATGACCAAGAGACTGCGGACAGTATAGGGGATGACCAAGAGACTGCGGACAGTATAGGGGGATGACCATGAGACTGCGGACAGTACTGGGGATGACCAAGAGACTGCGGACAGTACTGGGATGACCAAGAGACTGCGGACAGTGCAGGGGATGACCAAGAGAGACAGTGCGGGACAGTGCAGGGGATGACCAGAGACTGCAGACAGTGCAGGGGATGACCAGAGACTGCAGACAGTGCAGGGATGACCAGAGACTGCAGACAGTGCAGGGACAGACCAGAGACTGCAGGGAATGACCAGAGACTGCAGACAGTGCAGGGAATGACCAGAGACTGCAGACAGTGCAGGGAATGACCAGAGACTGCAGACAGTGCAGGGAATGACCAGAGACTGCAGACAGTGCAGGGAATGACCAGAGACTGCAGGGTGCAGGGAATGACCACTGCAGACAGTGCAGGGAATGACCAGAGACTGCAGACAGTGCAGGGAATGACCAGAGACTGCAGACAGTGCAGGGAATGACCAGAGACTGCAGACAGTGCAGGGAATGACCAGAGACTGCAGACAGTACATGAGATGACCAGAGACAGCAGACAGTACAGGGGGGATGACTAAGAGACTGCTGACCTTTGGGGAGGGAGGGGGAGAGGGTACCTGAATTTGACAGGTACCTGCTCCCATTTCCGCAGAGTTGTCCTCCCTTTAGTGTGGGCACCCGGCTAACAGCCGGGTGCCCAGTGTGCATGCGCGAGAAGCGCTGCGCTTTGTGAATGGTACGGCATCTTCTGGGGACACATGACAGGTCCCAGAAGACGCCGGACCAATCACAAAGCGCAGTGCTTCTCGCGCATGCGCACTGGGCACCCGGCTGTCACAGCTGAGAGCCCACACTAAAGAAGCCGGTGCGGGAAGACTGTACATCGCTGGACTGAGGAACAGGTAAGGTTCTGCTGCAGAGTAGAGCTGAGCGGCCGGCCCGGTATTCTGACACGGCGGCGGTGGAAATACCGGACCGGCCACTCCATATTCGCTCCATAAGACGCACTGACATTTCCCCCCTTTTTTGGGGGAAAAAAAGTGTGTCTTATGGAGCGAAAAATACGGTAATTGTGTTGGTGCTAATCCCGGAGTCCCCAACCAGGCATCCCAGATTTTTGTAAATTTCTGTGCACATCCTCTATGCTGATAAACTAGTTTTTCTCTAATCAGAGTATCACTGACCGCTTTAATCCATTGAATATGGGAAGAAGGTGAGGGCGATAACCATTTCTGAGCTGTAAGTTTCCGAGCAATAAAGAGCACTCTAAGGATAGCTATATAGACATGTGGAGAAAACAGTTCCTCATCCAACATTCCCAATAGACAAAGCTTGGGATCTAATGGTACAGTAAGATTCCAAATCTTACTGATCATTGTTATAATATGGGACCAATATCTTACCAAATTGGGACAAATTTTCAAAGCATATGGATAAGCGTGCCGTTATGAATTTCACATCTAGGGCAAAGGGGAGAGTCTCTCCTATTCCAAGCGTATAGTTGCTGAGGAGTGCGATAAGTACGGTGGATAATAAAGAGCTGGGTAAGCTTTTGAGCTGGGGACAAGGAGAATTTAATTACATTTTCTAATATGGTGGACCATTCCTCGTCGAAAATAGTGTCTAAGTCAGTCGACCATTGTGTTCTACAATTATGGGACATTGTCTTAGAAACTTTGAACATAATGGATTGGTAAATCGAAATATTTGACCCTTTCTTGTGGTTGAAGCTATAGTATGATTAAGTATTACCGGTTCAGTAAATATCCATGGAGAGGCTTTAGATTGTGTAGTAATGGTATGTCTAAGCTGTAGGTACTGGAAAAAGAATTGTTTAGGCAAATTGTATTCAAGCTGCTAAGTACAGAAATCTTTCAGTAATTGACCATTATATAATTGTGATATATATCTAACTCCCATCATCATCCACCCAGCAAAGCCCTACAGCTTCTGCAACTCAGAATGATTAACATTATGAAAAATCCGAGTAAATGAGGTATAACCCAATTTAGAGACTTTTAGCTTTGGACCAAATTCTATCAATCAACACAAAAGTGGGATACTGTGACATATTTCTAAACTCACCCGCCAACAAACATTCCACCAGATTATCATTGGACAAAACACCCATCAAGAACGGCTTAACAGTGTCTGCATGGTCACTGTCCTGCCAAGCAGTAAGATGTTGAAGTTCTGCAGCTATATAATAGTAGAATGGATTAGGTATCGCCAATCCCCCAGCCTCTCTAGATTCCTGTAATGTTTCCAGTTTTATACAAGGAGAGAGATTTTTTTCCAAATCAAAGATCGGAAAACGGTATCAAACTGTTTGAAAACATACATACGGATCCAATTTGGTGCATTATGCAAAACGTATAATAACTGAGGGGCCCAGATCAATTTTATGAGGTTACACCTACCAACCACCAAAAGCGGTAATTTGTTCCAACTAACCATTTTCTGTCTAAACTTAAGAAGGAGAGGGTAGAGATTAAGCTGCACATATTTAGACAGGGTAGGATGGATATGGATTTCCAGATAACGGAAGGAGTTTGTCACCTAGATTTGGGACGCAACCTGAGGTACAGGGGCTGGAATCGGGTCTAAGGGTAACAGGGTGAATTTATCCCAATTAATATTGAAACCAGAAAAGGATCCAAAAGGTATCAATAAGGGACATCAATCTCGATGTTACTGTCTTTGATATGATTTTGTACAAAGAACTGATCACAAGTCTGGTCATGTCATGTCTTTGGTAATGTTGGGTTTAGTAATGAGCAAAATAAGTCCTCCTGCAGGCTTACTGCATATTAACCCAAAGCTACAGCTACATCTTGCCTAAAATCAGACCAGGAAGAAGTATAGAGATAAAACACTAGATAGTCCATTGTTTATATGGACAGTGTAATAAAGGAGGAATCATAGCAGGTATAATGTTCAGTGCTTGAGGGTCTCTGGCAGCAGGGATAAAGAGACTCTGTTGCCAAACTATTGATGGGAAAATTGCATATTTCATATTTCCCTAGCGTGTCACAAAATCTAAGAAAGCCTCCAAAGTTTAGTTACCTTAGATGACTTCATGCAAAAGGAATGTCATTACAAACTGTCCAAGTCCTTAAACAATCACGTTGCTCCAGTGGGGTGGGTTGATCATTTCTTTTACATTCGAGTTCTATATATAGTACAACAAAAAACTGAAATACCTGTCTCATCTCAGAGCTGCATCATGCATGCGTCTGGTCCATTAATGCCACGAAAGCGGGTGGGACCCGTGGAGGAGGAAACATCATTTTTATTTAAGTATTCTTGTCCAATATTATTACATTTGTTATTTATACCTGTCATTACCTAATTGAATGATATACTTACAAGTATATGTTTGATCTCTCTTTGCACATATTAAATACAACCCCAAAAACATAACCTATCACGTATCTGTGATAACATATTTGGTACCAGAAGTGGGGTATTCAACCTGTGTGAACTAGAGATAGGAATAATAGTATGTGTAGTGGCAGGATTGACCTGCTTGTGCTAGATTTAATGCTGTGTTCTGTACTGCAAGATTTCAACAAAAGTCTTTCCATAGGCCTATATGTGCATTTAAAGTTTTTTCTATACACATGTATCTGTAAAAGCCTCCGCTGTGTAGACATTCAAATGCCTTGAGACTGCAGCAGGGCACTGCCATCTTGGATGTGATGTTATAAACCTCAACACTTAATTTTGGTGACGGTGTCTCTAAGTAGTCACTGCAGATAACGGGTCACTGCTGTGACTCTTGTAACCCTCTACTCCCGTATCAGTGGAATAAAAGATTAACTAGCCCAACCTCACTGATTTTTACCCCCAGTATATAGAAATGCTTCAGTCAGGAACACTGATAAAATAGCATGTACTGTGCATCTAGGGAAAGTGGGGATCATTTTTCAATAAGATTGCCAGAACAATCAAAGCCATATCAGTTAAATTATATAATAATTTGCATTTAAATATATATTATGGTAAACTTAGGTGATGACTTGCCTGGAAGGCTACTTACCTGCATCAGGAGGCTTATTTATTAGCATTGTGTGCATGGACATAATGTTCGGCCCAAGGAAGCATTCCACATACTTCAGAATCTAAGTAACAAGTACATATATCTAGTTAAACCAAGCAAAATCTAAAAGAACGACTTTATAAAAGATGTCCTTTCTGGGGTTCTTGTGCACCATATGTTAGTATGGCATTTATGCAACGATCGGCCGAGATTCTATCCATCTATGGACCGGCTGGTTGTACGGAAGTCAATCCATCGATCGAGTTCAGTACAACCAGACTTTGAGTTTCTTTGAATGCGATTACTGCCAGAGGGTATAGCCTCTAGCAGTGATCATTGTGTTTTGCTAGCAACGTAGGCTGCCCACCAGCAGAACACAGTAGCTCCGCAAAAGGCACTCCCCCATCAACACTGACTGAGTTGATGGGGGAATGGAGCAATTTTCCTTCCTTCAAACATGGTGGAAGGAAAGAAAATCGTAAACTCATGTGTGGCCTGTTTACAGCACAAACAATGTCGCTTTTGCCAAACAGGTTAAACTATTGCTTGATTCATCTGCCTGTGTAACTCTCCCTCTGCAACACATCATCTAGCACAACTATCCGCTTCCCTCTCCCATACATCTCTTGTCTGCTCTTTTCTCATTGTGCAATGTTTTCTCTGCTCTGTCCATACCCTTTGTGCACTCCCACTCCCACTGTACATTCCTCTATCTGATTCACCTTCAGTGACAAGCTTATGTTTGGTCCACACCACTCCACCTGTCTCCCCATTCCTTTCGCTGTAACTACCTTCACCCTACTATGTTTGACCATATATTAGTTTCTGCCATCTCCTGCTCTCAGTGCTCCTGAGGACCATGTCCTACAGACTGCAATGGGTGACAGCAACTATGCCGATGTAACCTGTGGAGCTCTGTTTTTTGACAATTGATGCTTGGGTCTGCGGATGTTAGTGCTTCTGATACACAGAGCTGGCCTGCCTGTCAAACTGACTTTGGGATCCTGTGGATTATGCTGGGAGTGTCGCTTTTTCAGGGTTATCTGCAGGGCTGGGCTGTTAATCCTCCTACATATATGACAAAGCTGCAGCCTTCATTTATAAATGAGTGCTTACTGAAAATCAAACTACTGTCCGTAGTTAACACTAATTTGTTACTTCTTTACCTTCTATCAGCTCTTTTTGTGCTGATTATTCTTTCTTTAGTTATTGTGGAAACATTTTCAATTTTATCCATTTTGTTCATTCTTAGTGTCACAATAAAAAATATTTAAAAAATGTCTAATTTCTTCTGATAAATTGTAAAAAGGGTTTGTACATAATTTTAATACGTCTAGAAAAATAACAATTTGCAAAATAAAATGTGCCCTTTTGAGTTGAAATTTGTATTAGTTCCCAGATGGAAGGACCAACTTTAGTTACCATAAGGTTAATGAAAACCTGGCTACTACATGCTTTTTATGGCTAATCACACTGTAGCTAGCTGCATGTCTTTAAGATAATATTTACATTGTATCTATTGGGGTATTTTTAACATGGTGATTGATGAAGAAACCCTGGAAGTAGATTAAGGCCCCGTTCAAACCTGAGTGATTTTCTGCTTGAAGCTAGAAGCTCTATTACGCCCAACAAACCAAATCATCTTCATTTCAATGACCCTGCTCACATTTGAGCATTTTGTCACCTGTAGTAAAATGCCCTTCACTCAAAAAAGTACTAAATTTACAAAGTGCAGCACCATTTTTTGATGAAAGCCTATGTGTACTATTGCCCAACCACACACGATGCATCCACAGGTGCAGAGTTTGGTGTTCTATAATATTAAAAGAATGCCTTGTTTGTCCCAAAAGTAAAATATGCCTCACTTCTATATAAGAAATAACATTACTGCTGAATGCATGTGGTGGCTATAAACTTCTTTAAATACATCCTTGGTAGAAGCCAATTACAAGGTGATATTAAAAAGGTATTTGATTCCCACCAAGGTTGCAAAATTAGCTCCACTAGCTTCTTAGGTTTAGAGGCTGCTCAGAATAAGGATCTATGGGGTCAATTCACTAAAGATGACTGCATGCAATAACATGGTCACGTGACTCGTTTGCATAAATTATTGCATGCGGTTAAAAAAAAAAAATGTCCAATTCACACACACACAAAAAAAAAAAAAAAAAAAAAAATTATGCGGTATTTAATGCAGAATGACAAATGTGTCTGTAAATTTTGCAAAAAACGCGATAAGCTCTTAAGTCTAGTTCACAAACGGAACAGAAAGGAAAAAAAGATGCAATATTTATCAGGGTTTTGCTGATGGTATCACATGCGGTATTTTTTCAAATGCAGCGTTGGAGCCCCCCCCCAATCCTTATCAGGCCCTTTGAGGTTGTATGGATTTAAAACCCATGGGAACCCCATGCCAAAATTTAAGAAAAAAAAAAAAAAAAAAAAAATAGATGACATGGGGTCCTCCCCAAATCCATATCAGACACTTAGGTATGATATGGATTTTGCGGGGACCCCAATGCCATTTTTTTTTAGATTTTGGCGTGGGGTTCTCCCAAAATCCATACCAGACCTAAGGGCCGTTTTTTTTCTTTTAAATTTTAACGTGGGGTTTTTTTAAAATCCACACCAGATCCAAAGGGCCTGCTATGGATGGAGGGGGACCCCAAGCAGGTTTTTTTTCATAATTTTTAATTGCCAGCATATTTTGTTTACATTCAGCTGTCAGCAGGAAACCCACTGACAGCTGATGAGTCACCTGTTGTTAAGGATGTGGCGGCCTGCTTCCTTAACAACCAGCTACTGTGTGATAATTTATCTCGTGAAAATATGCTTTAATTACCGCAATTTCAATGTTTTACCGCAGGAGTTATTTACTGCAAAATTCTTAGTGAAATGCACATTTGCAAAAGATTTACTGCATGCATTATTTTAACACATTTGTTTAGTCATTATTTAACTCTTAGTGAATTGACTCCTTTAGATGCATATCTGGTGCTCACATCTAAAGTACAAGAATTTTGGATTAAGGCATTTTACCTGATTAACACCTTGACCTTTATTAACCCTAAAAGATCACCTAAAGAGGCATTATTACATATTGATTTCTCAGACATGTCCAAAGGTATTGGCAGGTTTATAGCATTTATTTTCCTAGCAGCTAGGAATGCAATTGCTTGAAGCTAGAGAAAAAACGACAATCTCCATTAAACTAGTCAAACATAAGCTCAACTGAAACATCATCAATGATAAATTACTTAGTATCCTGAATGATGCTCATGCTAAATTCAAACTAATGTGGCAACCCTAGGTACAATACAACTCTGTTGAGTGACTGAGTGACTGAAATAAGATACTGTTGATGTACATCTCTGACCCCTCTTTTCTTTCTTGTCTTTTCTTCTTTTCCATCTTTGCTCTTTTCTGTGAGTTTCAACTTATTATGAGTCAATAAATACAGAACTGGCCAACAACTTGCTCTCTGGGCTACTACATTACATGGTACACGCTTAGAACAATTTTCGACAACTGGTTATGCAGGCCATAGACGGGTCGTTTATCGGCCAAATTTTTGTCCGAACAAAAAATTGGGCGATATTCACACCGTTAGTGGGGCAATGTTGTCAGCCGATTTTCGTGGTTCTTCTCGTTTCTTTTTATCGGTCATGCTGGAAAATCTACGAAAAACGTCTGTTTTCCGTAAGCATTGGTGGCAGCAACGACCGATTTTTCGTTTATCGGCCGACAATTCGGCCGATAAATGTCCTGTCTGTGGCCTGTATTAGTAAAACAGACCAGTTAAGCACTGTTTAAATAATATTACAGTCACCATTAGCCAGCATTCAATTTGCTTTAATGCTCCATTGTCTTCCCCTGGTCTTCGCTGTGAGGACTGCCTAATTCATTTTCATGTTCTATATCTAAAGTTGTTCATTGAACATGTACACAAGGTTTAGGTACAAGTGCAGGATTTATTATATACTGTCTCTAAAGTGTGTTTGATTAAAGTGGTATTAAACCCAAAACTAAAAATAGATTATGTTGCAGCTTTCCAATCATCAGATGTGGTGGCTGCATGAGTTTTCTTCTTTTTTAGGCTCCCCCCCCCCCCCCCCCCCCCCCGTTTTCACCTGTGATCTGGCCAGTAACACACCTCCTGTATTAGGAAGACACCAACCTGGAGGAATGAGCACAGGACACAGCAGACAGAAGCATAGTCAGTCTGAGGGGGTGGGGCGGGAGTGTTAAATGTATTAGCAGATTTTAATACAATAACAAATTAAAGCCAAACTCCAGCTTACACTTTATAATCATTTAAGGTTTTAAATGAATAAATAAAATCTGATCATTTTCATCACCCTGCCAGTGGTAATGGATTGTCTCATCCATGTGAACTGCTTAATTCTGGTGGAGCTTGAGCCTCTGAAAAACAGCAGACTTACTGGCTGAATCACTAGATGAAAATAACAGAAAGGAAACTAATACAGGCATCACGTCTAAGAATCAGTATGCTGTAACATAATAAATATTTGCTTTAGGGTTTAATACTGCTTTAAGTGTTTGTTACATGTTTTATCACATATAACTACGTTATGATACTTGTAAAAAATACTTCAATATAAATACCGAAACCGAAAATGTTTTCTGGTAGCAGCGGATGTTGTAGTTTTATATTAATTTAAAATAAATAGTATGTCTGCTAATTTTCAGATTTAGTATTAGTGATGGTAGCCCAAAAAAACTGTAATGTTATACCTAATAGTTCAGCAGGGGTGAGGGTTCCTAAATTGCAAACATCAAACATAAACTGTACATCTTTTATATGTCATGACATAGTAAACATGTTACCTGTGGAAGACTGCAGTATCTGAAGAGCTCAGGAAGCTCCTGAAAATCCTGAACCTTAGTAACAGCTTTCTGGTCTGGAACAAACTCTGATTTAGCAATGGCCACATCTCGCATGACAACCAATCCAGGTGCTGTCAGTTCTTTCTTGCACACCTTCTCAAACACTACCCTATATATTGTCATAAATTAAACAAGGAACAGTGAGTATGAAGAATTAGTATCTAATGTTAATTAATATTACAAGATGTTCATAATTTTGTTTACTTAAACTACAAAGCTTATCTGATGTTTTTAGGCTTTCATCTTTGTTGTTCAACCCTAATCCATCCAAAAGGTAAAAAAAAGTTGTGTAGAACTCTATTCTTATTAAAAGTGGACCACTGCAAGAGACATTTCATAAAAGTCTCCACCAATTGGATCTGCTATATCAAGTTCCACCCATTACTTAGCTTAATATGAAAACTAATGCAGCTAAGGATTTTGTGTGCTTGCAGTTCCATATTTTGATTATTGTATTTCATGTACAATAGTAAACTGTATATTTCAGAAAACGTGGTTAGACTGCTTTCACACTGAGGAGTTTTTGAAGCATTTTGCATCAAAAGAAACAAATGAAAAGCTCAAGAAAACTGCTTCCCTGTGTTTGTGAATGTATATCTATGTATGTTTTCACACTGAGGCGTTGCGCTTGCAGTGCGGTGTAAAAACAGCATCTTTGGGGCATGTTTGGGGAGTTAAAAAAACGCCTCAAAAACACCTCTTCTCATTGAAATGAATGGTAACCGCCTCAAAAACTCTCCAAAAATGCACCGCACATGTGGGAAGGTATGGCTAAGCTTACTAAAAATGTCAATTCACTATATGCGGTATTTACCGAAAATAGCAAAAACACTCCGTAAATACCACATAAAAATACCTTGAAGTCAATTCACAAAATGAAATAAATAATTAAATGCATGAGGTAATTAAATAGTGGTCCAGGCTTGTGGCTTACTGTATCTGGCACTTGCTTGTCCCCCCCTTTCCTGACTTGCCGGGCTGCATGCTCGGATAAGGGTCTGGTATGGATTTTGAGGGGGACCCCACACCATTTTTTTTGTGTGAGGGTTCCCCTCAAAATCCATACCAGACCTGAAGGGCTTGGTATGAATGGAGGGGGGGGCCCACGCTGTTTTTTTTATTATTTTTAATTGCCGGCAATTCTCTCTTTTACATTCAGCTGTCAGTGGGGAACCCCGCTGACAGCTGAAACATTAATGCATGTTTTTCACTACTAAAATACCACATGACTTGATAAAATAACCCATGCGGTATTTTAGTAGCGTTTTTAAAGTGAATTCAAACTTTTTTTTTTAAAAATGCTATGCGGTATCCTACCACATACTCAGATGCAGTAAGATACCACTTAGTGAATTGTGCCCAATACCATCTATTGCATCATTTGTTGATAGGTTTTGGAAATAAAAACTTGCCAATAACATGCAAATCTGCCCAATCTGAGCTACAAATGTAAGTCACATGTCCAGGATGTTCCACTTGAAAAATGCCTCAAAAACGCCTCAAAAACTCTCCAAAAACGCTAGTCATTTTTCAAGTGTTTTTGAGGCGAACCAGTGTGAAAGCAGCATTGGACCACATACTTACTAACTTTAGAGATAAACTTAATTAAATTGAAGAACAAAAAATGTAACATATTGCAGCTTACTAGTTCTTAGATGTGGTGGCTGTATTGGTTTTTATTTTTGGGGTAAGAATATTTTTTGCAAATACAGAAATTGCCCGTTTCCTTGTCAGAAAAGCAGTGTCGTCATCACTTCCTAGTAGAGGAACTGCAAGCAAAGTCAATCTTTTCTTTCTTGTGTAAACTACGAATCACACTATCCCTTGTATAATAAAGATGAACAAAGGCAGAAATGTTTGAAGTCCAGGCAACCACAGCTCCTTCCACAAATACAGCAGAGGAGTGAGCATAGCCACCCCGAAGGGACAGAAGCACGTTTCTTGCAGGATAAAAACAAAAAAGAAATACAGGCCTAAAAAAAAATAAATAATGCAGACTCCTTATTTAAGAATTGGTAAACTGCAATGGCCAACACAAATTCCAGAAAATATGGGAAAAAAGAATAATAACCAGTAATTAACAGGCACAAAAAGATAATGAAATCATGATTGCATGATCATACTGAAAACCACATATAACCAAATGCATGTAAATAAGCAATGTACATAATCATGATCATAAAGGTTTATAGAGCTCTGGGTTTCACACTTTATCAGGTACTGAACTATTAAACAGAACATAAAGATTGTAATAAAGGTCCTGGCTTACAAAAGTAACCTATGATAAACTTTTGCGACCTTGACAGGATCTAGAAAGGCTTGTGTAAGCAAATATTTATCTTAATGAGTGGGTAACTACAGACATGGAATGACAGTCAGGTAGATGGCAGAAATAAGTAAAAGCTCACACAAACAGACCTGAGTGACCACTGTTATAATAATCAATTTGACAAGTCAAAATACATATTTTTGTTGCTAATTTTAAACTCTAAAAAGCCAGGGTGTGCAGCATCCTCCCTCTTCTTCCATGCTCCATTGTCAGGGCCAAGCTTAGAAGCTTCTGAAACATTCTGCACTGCACTGTAGACTTTCTAGCTTGAGTGCAGTTGGATCCTGCATGTAAATACAACCATGCCTTATCTAATTCTATAATATGTATGCATCAAAATATTTGTGTCCAATATATTTAGATATTTACCCCACAGAATGAAAAAATTTGTTTAAAAGCACTGAAACCCATTTATACCTAAAGTCATCAATGTCCTCATGTGACACTAGATTTTTCACAACAAGAAAGCCATTCTCCTCGTAAAAATGTCTCTGTTCTGTGTTCAGCAGGTTATTATCCAAAGTATATCTGTTGGAAGAAAGTACAGAAGAAACATGAACCTCATCATTTTTTCAGAACTGCATAGATGACAATCTACTCTACTGAGATATAGAAAGTACTCAGTGCTACATAAAAATACACTAGTTCAAGTATATTCTTAATTCAATTCCTCTGTTGCCAAAACTAAAGTATGTTTATGCATGTGGCTTCATCAGGATCTCAAAGCAAAAAAAAATGTTTAGTCCAGTTTATCTGCGTTTTACTTTCCTATTGGGAAAGTAAAACAAAACTGAAAAAGTAACTTACTACCTACAGCTTCATTTGAGGTTAGCATGTCCTCTGTATTAGCTTCCTGGCAATCGGTATGCAGTGCTGATTGCTGCACAACCTTTGGTGTGCACAAGACTTCCATGTCTGGAAATTGCAGAGTACACAGACAAGTGTCAAACTGCCCTCACAGAAAGACTTGTTCCTAATGTAAATGTGTGGGTTATCTCACCTGTGAAGGCTTTACAATTTATGCTGCCTAGAAACTAAACTACACTAAAGTGTTGTACTCGGTATGCAAAACAAAACTTATGCTAATGTACAGGTCACATGGTAAAAAGAAGTATGGAATTTTTAATCATACTTACCTAGGTGGATGCAGCATCGGTCTGCATTTGTGCCCCGTTACCCCAAATTTGTGAAGCTGCTTTTGTGCCCTTCCGGCTCTAAGGCTAAGAACTGAGTGATCAGACACCGCTGATCACTCAGTTCTCTTTGCCGCTCTGCTCAGAGAGCAGTGACTGTCAGTCACCGCAGTCTGCTCTGCACCCCCCTGTGCTCACTGGAGCACTGGACTGTGGAGGGGGAAAGAGCAGCTGACTCGGGCTCTCAGCGGAATGCCAGGTGCTGGTCCACATATCTGGGTGGATCCCAACTTTAAAGTCCGGATCTTTCCCAAGCCTGGACTGGCTGAGTGATATCAGCCGACAGTGGACTTTAGCCTGCTGTCAGCTAAAAAATGGGTCACAGGACTGCAGAATGAACTGCACTCCTGGGATCCACAGGAGCAGTACAGCCAAACAAGCTTTAGCTGTACTTCCCCTTTAAACACTTGCCTACCTTCATGCCCAGGCCAATTTGCAGCTTTCAGCACTGTTGCAATTTGAATGACAATTGCGTGGTCATGCAACATTGTACCCATATGAAATTTGTATCAATATTTTCACACAAATAGAGCTTTCTTTTGGTGGTAGTTACTTACCACTGGATGTTTTATTTTTTGCGCTATAAACAAAAAAAGCAAAAAATTTGGAAAAAAAAAGTTTTTCTTTGTTTCTGTTATAAAATTTTGCAAACAGGTAATTTTTCTCCTTCACTGATGTGCGTTGATGAGGCTGCACTGATAGTCAGCACTGATGGGCACTGACAGGCAGCACTAACTGGTGGCACTGCTGGGTACTGACTGGTGGCACTGATGTGGGGGCACTACTGGGCACAGGTGGGTGGCATTGCTGGGCAGTGGTGGGCACAGGTGGGTGGCACTGTTGGGCACTTATCAGTGCCCTAAGGATCCGTGCCGATCCGTCCTCTGACAATTGCCGGTTATCGGCAGTACTTTCCTCACTTTCTGACAGCGTGAGGAAAGTGCAGCTGATAACCGGAAACTGCATTTACCTGTGATCTGCTGTGTCATTGGATACGGCTGATCACATAGTAAAAGGCCGCTGTGATTGGCCTTTTACCACATCCCATGATCCCGTAGGACACATCGATCACGGAGATCGCTGAGTGCGCACCCCCAGGGGCGCGTGGGAGGGCGCGCTCTGGGAGGACATCATGATGTCCTCCCAGGACTGGACAACAGCGCTGTAGCAGTCATTCAGCTATACCACGGTTGCAAGTGGTTAAAGAAGGAAATCCTACACAATACATTTTTCTTCTTTTTTTTCAGGCATGATCAACAAATGTAAGCCACAGACCGCTGTTAGGAGTTTTTCATGTTTACTAATTAAAACTGATGGTCCTCGCCAGCTTTTCTTTCTCTTCTGACACCTCAATCATCTATGATTAAGACCATACTTTGCATCAAATGTGTTGGCTATAAGGGAGGAGCATGGCGGGGATAAGGTAGTTCACAAATCCCCATGTTGGAGTTGCAGCCACAGAGAACAATAAAAGCTAGAGAGCATTGGATGGTATGGGATTTTGTATTTTATATTGTGATGCTTCAGGGAGCTTTCAACTATAGTCAAAATATAAATTAAAGAGTCAGTTAAAGGTATAGTAATGAGGCTGGTTAAAGTGGGGAAGGGTTATAATTTCTGGCAGATTTTATTGCCATCTGTGTTCCTGTTGGGGAGATTTCATATTACTTCCTGCCCTGGTGACAACACAAAATTTAAGGAGAATATCCCCAACAGTGATGCAGGCAGCAATAAAACCCTAATAAAGCTTATAAAGGCCTCTTGCACACTGCAGCCTGAATAAGCTAAGTACAGCGGGTTTTTTTTTTTACTGAGTTAAAATGTAGCCCATTAATTACATTGTGCCTTTGCACACAGGCAGATAAATAAGTGCTACGTATTCCTCAGTAAAAAAACAAATAGGAAATTTTGCATTTTTGGTCAGTAATTTATGCTGAGTACGTGGAAATGCACGCAAATATGTGCATATAAGCATCCGTATTAACCGCTTGTTCTCCACCCTATAGCAGAAGTACTGCAACAGGGCAGCAGGGATGCGCAAAATCATGTACATACACGTGATTTGTATTTCTGGTTAGGGGGCTCGTGTGCGCCGCCTTACCTGCGCTGCTATTGGCGGCTATAGAGATGTCAATCACCGGGTCCTGGGTGGCGATTCCCAGCCGGCACTCGCCGATTGTCGAGCAAAGCTGACAGGAGAGACCTGTGTGTAAACAACACAGGTCCCTCTCCTGTCAGCAAGGACATGCTGCTTTGTATCTTACTGCACAGCAGAGAGATACAAAACAGCATGTCTCCCTAGTAAAACACACACAGTACACTGTTAACTCTCTTTGAGCGCCCCAGATGTTAACCCCTTCCTGCCCAGTGTCATTAGTACAGTGTCAGTGCTTTTTATTAGCACTGATCACTGTATTAGTATCACTGGGGATGTCAGTGGCAGTTAGTCAGTTCCCACCCAGTGTCAGAATGCCCGCTGCAGAATGGCAGTCCAACGATAAGTCGCTGATTGCTGCCATTACTAGTATAAAAAAAAAAAAAATAATAAAAATTCTTATATATATATATATATATATTCGAAAGTTTGGGCACCCCAGCTAAAAATTTGTATTAATGTGCATAAAGAAGCCAAGGAAAGATGGAAAAATCTCCAAAAGGCATCAAATTACAGATTAGACATTCTTATAATATGTCAACAAAAGTTAGATTTTATTTCCATCATTTACACTTTCAAAATAACAGAAAACAAAAAAATGGCATCTGCAAAGGTTTGGGCACTCTGCAGAGTTAATATCTTGTACTGCCCCCTTTGGCAAGTATCACAGCTTGTAAACGCTTTATGTAGCCAGCCAAGAGTCTTTCAATTCTTGTTTGAGGTATCTTTGCCCATTCTTCCTTACAAAAGTCTTCCAGTTCTTTGAGATTTCTGGGCTGTCTGTCACGCACTGCTCTTTTAAGGTCTATCCATAGGTTTTCAATTATGTTGAGGTCAGGAGATTGTGAAGGCCATGGCAAAACCTTCAGTTTACGCCTCTTGATGTAATCCCCCCCCGTGGATTTCGAGGTGTGTTTAGGATCATTATCCATTTGTAGAAGCCATCCTCTCTTTAACTTCAGCTTTTTCACAGATGGCATCAAGTCACCATCCAAAATTTGCTGAAATTTTATTGAATCCATTTTTCTTTCTACTCGTGAGATGTTCCCTGTGCCACTGGCTGCAACACAACCCCAAAGCATGATTGATCCAAACCCATGCTTAACAGTTGGACAGAGGTTCTTTTCATTAAATTCTGTGCCCCTTCTTCTCCAAACGTACCTTTGCTCATTCCGGCCAAAAGGTCAATTTTAACCTCATCGGTCCACAGAACTTGTTTCCAAAATGCATCAGGCTTGTCTATATGTTCATTTGCAAAGTTCAAACGATGATTTTTGTGGCGAGGACGTAGAAGAGGTTTTCTTCTGATGACTCTTCCATGAAGACCATATTTGTACAAGTATCTCTTTATAGTGGAATAGTGTACCACAACTCCAGTGTCTGCCAGATCTTTCTGGAGGGATCGTGCAGTCAAAAAACGTGGGTTTTTGAATTGTTTTTCTCACAATCCTGCGAGCTGTTCTGTCTGATATTTTTCTTGGTCTTCCAGATCTTGCTTTAACTTCCACTGTTCCTGATGACTGCCATTTCTTAATTACATTCCGAACAGAGGATATTGACATCTGAAAACGCTTTGCTACCTTCTTATAGCCTTGTTCAGCTTTGTGAGCGTCAACTATTTTCAGTTTCAGTTTTCTAGACAACTGCTTAGAAGAACCCATGGTGCCAATTGTTGGGGCAAGGTCAGATGAGTCTGGGCATTTAAAACCTTTGAGATTGACATCACCTGGTCTTCCCAGACGATGACTGAGAACAATCCATGACACTGGCAGGTCTCAGCTTTGCAAAGGGGTCAGTGCATGCTATAAATTCTGCAGGGTGCCCAAACTTTTGCAGACGCCATTTTTTTGGTTTCTGTTATTTTGAAAGTGTAAATGATGGAAATAAAATCTAACTTTTGTTGACATATTATAAGAATGTCTAATCTGTAATTTGATGCCTTTTGGAGATTTTTCCATCTTTCCTTGGCTTCTTTATGCACATTAATACAAATTTTTAGCTGGGGTGCCCAAACTTTTGATCCCCACTGTACACATATACACATACATACATACACACACACTGCCATTTGTAGATAGATTTGTATTACTTTCATGTAAACCAATTAATTTACACGTATTGGGATTTTTTCAGCAAAGATATGTAGCAAAATACATTTTGACCTAAATTTATGAAGAAATTTGATTTTCGAAATTTTTTTATTGGATGTTTGTTTTGTCCACAAATTAAAAACTCAGAGGTAATCAAATACCACTGAAAGAAAGCTCTATTTGTGGGGGAAAAAAATGACAAATTTAATTTATGTACAGCGTTGCATGACCGCACAATTGTTAAAGTAATGCAGCGCCATATCACAAAACATTGCCTGGTCAGGAAGTGGGGTAAATCCTCTGGAGGGCAAGTGGTTAATGAATTTTCCCTAAGAATATGTTCTGCACACAAACCATCAAAGTCTCCCAGAATGCAATGATGCAGCGGGAAGGATTCTCTCATCCACATCGAATGTGTGGATGGGGAATGGGGTCCTTTTTTTCATTCAATCTATGAGCTTTTAACCTCCCTGGCGGTTTTCCCGAGTGTAGCTCGGGGTAGAATTTCTATACCACAAGCGGTAACCCCGAGCTACACTCGGGCTTACCATGCGGCGCTGCTCTGGGGGTCCCTGCAGCACTTACCTTGTCCTTCGTTCCCACGATGTGTCCCCTGCAGCGTCCCCGGCCATCTCCTCCGGCCGATGCCGGCATCCGGCTTCTGTGTTCCGGTCCCCGTGACGTCGGGACGTACGGGCGCCGGCGGCGGCGGGAAATTTAAAATTTTTTAAAAATGTCATTTTTTTTTTTTCAATTTTAAATAGTAAAACATTGCTGTTTCATCCCATTTCACATATATATTGTCCCTAGTGCTTTGTCCTGTGCCCTGCCTGCATTTTGTCTGTTCTTTCTGCCTGGAAACTTAGAAAAGTCCATGGCGTCCAAAAAGCGTCCCTTTATGTCAAAAGCGGTTTTAGACCGGCTAGAGAACAGCGATAGTAAATCAGAACCACTTACAGAATTGAGTGATATTGATTTGTGGGGAAATTTTCCTAAAAATTACAGCCTACAATAAAAAACTATTTCCATGTGAAAAAATGGTACCGCTTTCAGCACAAAAAATCGGAAGGAATCATACCGCCAAGGAGGTTAAAAAGTAACGCAAGGAAATAATCCATTAATTTGCTGACAAGCAAACACTGAAGCAAAAGCTGGTTTTATATTAACCTTTATTGGGCTATTCATTTTACCTTGCTATTTTTAGCTGAGGTCATGCCTAAATTCCTTATTATTCTACATTTTCCAACTTCTGTATACATACAGTGGGGCAAAAAAAGTATTTAGTCAGCCACCAATTGTGCAAGTTCTCCCACTTGAAAAGATGAGAGAGGCCTGTAATTGGCATCATAGATAGACCTCAACTATGAGAGACAAAATGAGAAAAAAAAAATCCAGACAATCACATTGGCTGATTTGGAAAGAATTTATTTGCAAATTATGGTGGAAAATAAGTATTTGGTCACCTACAAACAAGCAAGATTTCTGGCTCTCACAGACCTGTACCTTCTTCTCTAAGAGGCTCCTCTGTCCTGCACTCATTAACTGTATCAATGGCACCTGTTTGAACTTGTTATCAGTATAAAAGACACCTGTCCACAACCTCAAACAGTCACACTCCAAACTCCACTATGGTGAAGACCAAAGAGCTGTCGAAGGACACCAGAAACAAAATTGTAGACCTGCACCAGGCTGGGAAGACTGAATCTGCAATAGGCAAGCAGCTTGGTGTGAACAAATCAACTGTGGGAGCAATAATTAGAAAATGGAAGACATACAAGACCACAAATAATCTCCCTCGATCTGGGGCTCCACGCAAGATCTCACCCCGTGGGGTCAAAATGATCACAAGAACGGTGAGCAAAAATCCCAGGACCACACGGGGGGACCTAGTAAATGACCTGCAGAGAGCTGGGACCAACGTAACAAAGGCTACCATCAGTAACACACTACGCCGCCAGGGACTCAGATCCTGCAGTGCCAGACGTGTCCCCCTGCTTAAGCCAGTACATGTCCGGGCCCATCTGAAGTTTGCTAGAGAGCATTTGGATGATCCAGAAGAGGATTGGGAGAATGTCATATGGTCAGATGAAACCAAAATAGAACTGTTTGGTAGAAACAAAACTCGTCGTGTTTGGAGGAGAGAGAATGCTGAGTTGCATCCAAAGAACACCATACCTACTGTGAAGCATGGGGGTGGCAACATCATGCTTTGGGGCTTTTTCTCCGCAAAGGGACCAGGATGACTGATCTATGTACAGGACAGAATGAATGGGTCCATGTATCATGAGATTTTGAGTGCAAACCTCCTTCCATCAGCAAGGGCATTGAAAATGAAACGTGGCTGGGTCTTCCAACATGACAATGATCCCAAACATACCACCCGGGCAACGAAGGAGTGGCTTCGTAAGAAGCATTTCAAGGTCCTGGAGTGGCCTAGCCAGTCTCCAGATCTCAACCCCATAGAAAACCTTTGGAGGGAGTTGAAAGTCCGTGTTGCCCAGCGACAGCCCCAAAACATCACTGCTCTAGAGGAGATCTGCATGGAGGAATGGGCCAACATACCAGCAACAGTGTGTGCCAACCTTGTGAAGACTTACAGGAAACGTTTGACCTCTGTCATTGCCAAAAAGGATACATAACAAAGTACTGAGATGAAATTTTGATATTGACCAAATACTTATATTCCACCATAATTTGCAAATAAATTCTTTCCAAATCAGCCAATGTGATTGTCTGGATTTTTTTTTCTCATTTTGTGTCTCTCATAGTTGAGGTCTACCTATGATGCCAATTACAGGCCTCTCTCATCTTTTTAAGTGGGAGAACTTGCACAATTGGTGGCTGACTAAATACTTTTTTGCCCCACTGTATGTTGATACTGTGCACATAGATGTCAGGGCTGCACATTTTTTGCCAGTTTTATTAGGACTGCACATTTACTATAACAATACATGTACAGTATGTTTTGCTCTATGAAACTTTAATTACAAAATTTGACACTGGCATAAATGATAAATTAAAACACTGGGTAAAAAAAAAATGAGTAAGGAAATTTTGTTATTGATTACTGTTACTTTAGATGTTATTTGTATTAAATGTATTATGTGTGAAATCGGTTTTCTTTCAAATACTTATTAATACCTGTGAGGTAATAATATAGAAACAAAACAACTGTTTACATAAAAAATGGACCTCTTGACAAATACCATGATACCTTTTGCATTCAGATTTAAAGGGAGCAAATATACTTACTGAAAGTTTGTTGGATGACTGACAGTTGAAACCTGGCCAGATACAGGAACAGCAGCCTGAAATTTTAGATAAGGCAAACAAAATAGCTCTACATGTTTGATTCAAAATAAAACAGATGAGCGATACTATTTACTTGCTTGGCTAATATTAAAATAAAAATAAGGTGGATTCTAGGGACACCTCCAGAGCTCATAAGAGCTATTCCACTGCAGCATTGTCCTATGAAAAATGTCATTTTTTTGCATGTCAGGTCTCCCCATCTAACAGCCTGTCTCTGATAAGTTATGTTGTAAACATCTCTAAAGTCACATGGCAAATATCACTGCTAATTAAAGTGTTACTAAACCCAGAATCCTGCATCACTATATCTGGTCTCCCACAGTACACAGAACATGAAAATGCAATTATTTTAGTAAATATAAACTGCTAAATACCTTTTCTCATTAGCAGTATATATAGCAGTCTTTTATCAGTGTCCAGCAGAGCACTAGTTGAAGCTTGTAGGAGGAGTTTTCATTCTCCACTGCCTGTCCTATGGGGCTGCATAACCCCTGACCCTCTGATGGGACAGTGCTGATTAGTCCTGTGCTGATCACATGCATCCTCCCAAGAAAAACAAAAACCTCTCTAGCAATACACACCAAACTGAGCATGTGCAGAGTGCCCCCAAGGCTCTGTTCTATCAGGGGATGGATTGGGGACAGTAGAAAATGGGGAGGATCAGAGAAAACAGGATCAAACAGCCTTTTTACACAATGTGGATTAACCCCTTAGGTTCCATTGTGAGTATTGCAAGCATGCTTTACTGCACATACAGACTGATTTTACTGTTGTGGGTTTAGTAACACTTTAAAGCACAAAAGCAGCTGTTTTACTCATAGAGATCACAGGTCTGTACAAAGAGCTATGAAATTCAAGTCAGGCAAAATATATGTACAACAGTACAGGAACATAACCATATCCATGCAACTAGTTATTCATTATGCAGGCCAAATACAGTACATATCAATCCAATAACAAATATTTTAATATTCAGATTTAATCTGGCAGCTGTCAGATTTTTTTTCTCCACTATATAATTTGTTTTCAACCTATCCTGCAGGAGGGTAAAAACAATTGGGTTGGAAACTTCCGATAATTTTTACACCAAATATGCGTTATAATGATGCAATCAATGGTGTAAACAAAAAAAAATCACTTTCAATTTTTAGTTATTTTTTAACAATATTCCTTTAACCCTAAAGTGATCGTATTTTGTGTTTTATCAAATAATCTTTTCAAAAACCTGCTCAATTAAGATGCATTGATTAAAACAGTTGAATAGAATATACAGTATATTCACGTATGGCCTGCATTAGGCCTGACACAATAAATACCTGGTAACTGAGCAATTTCAGAAACCATACCCAAGTGTACCATTTATTTTCAGTACTGGACTTAAATTAATTACAAGTGCTGATATTCCCCGAGTTGTCCACTGCTGATTTTGTATCGGTATGATGGGAGAAAGTTGGGGGGGTTACTAAGGGGCCCAAAGTGTGCCAAGAAAATATCCCCCACACCACCAGTCTGAACCATTGATACAAGGTAGGATGGATCCATGCTTTCATGATGTTTACGCCAAATTCTGACCCTACCATCTGAATGTTGCAGCTGAAATTGAGACTCATCAGACCAGGTTTTTTTTTTTTCAATGTTCTGTTGTCCAATTTTGGGGAGCCTGTGCAAATTGTAGCCTCCGTTTCCTGTTCTTAACTGACAGGAGTGGCACGCGGTGTGGTCTTCTGTTGCTGTAACCCATCTGCTTCAAGGTTCGATGTATTGTTCATTCAGAGATGGTATTCTACATACCTTTGGTTGTAAAGAATTGTTATTTGAGGTACTGTTGCCTTTCTATCATCTTGAACCAGTCCGCCCATTCTCCTCTGACATCAACAAGGCATTTTCATCCACACAACTGCCACTCACTGGATATTTTCTCTTTTTTGGACCACTCTCTGTAAACCCTAGACACGGTTGTGCATTAAAATCCCAGTAGATCAGAAGTTTTTGAAATACTCAGACCAGCTCGCCAACAAACTTGCTACGTTCAGGGTCACTTAAATCCCCCTTCTTCCGCATTCTGATGCTTGGTTTGAACTTCAGCAAGTTGTCCTCACCACGTCTACAGGCCTAAATGCATTGAGTTGCTGTTATGTGATTGGCTGATTAGCAATTTGTGTTACCAAGCAATTAATGCCTAAAACTAACTACTCTGTAATAAAGCGAGCAGTATTACCTCAAATGTTACTAAGCAAAAAAATTACTTGAATTTACATCAAATATGCCTTTGGTTATTTATCCTTCTTAAAGTGTGTACTTCTAGCCAAAACATTTCCCGTTTTAACGCAGTATTAAACCAAAGAGCAAACATTTATTATATTGCAGCTTATCAGTTCTTAGATACAGTAGCTGCATTAGTTTAGTTTTTTAGGCTCTCTTTCCTTTATTTTCACCTGGTGATCCAGCCAGTAGGTCCGAGCATCAAGCTCTTCTGCAGATGAAGCTGTTACAGGGATGAGAAAAAACCATTTTTTAAAACTTTCTGCTATAAAACATACCCCCCCAAAATTAAAAAAAAAAATCAAACTTCTTCGTAAATGTGGGCCAAAATGCATTCTGCTACATTTCTTTGGCAATAAAAAAATCCCAATTATAGAGTAATTAGCAATAATAATAATGAGTATGTTAATTGGTCTACAAACTACGGGATACATACTGGAATTCTAACTTATTTTTTTTATACTAGTAATGATGGCGATTAACACTTTATAGTGGGACTGTGAGAGTGCAGCGAGCAATTTGACATTGACACTTTTGGGAACTGACTCACTAACACTGACATTACCAGTGACACTAATATAGTGATCAGTGCTAATAACACTACCTGGGAATGGGTTAACATTTAGTGGCAATCAAAAGGTTAACTGTGTTCCTAACAATGTTTACTGTGTTTTACTAAGCAATGTGCTGACTTTTTATTCCCTGCTTTGCAGGGAGAGAAAAAAATGCCACATTGCTGCTGTCTGTAGAGAGCTCTGTGTTGTTTATACAGTTGCAAGAAAAAGTATGTGAACCCCTTGGGATTACGTGGAGTTTTGCATGAATGGGGCATAAAATGTGCTCTGAACGTCATCTAAGTCACAACAATAGAAGAACACAGTCTGCTGAACATAATACTACACAAACGTTAGATGTTGCCATGGTTTAATTGCACATAACATGTAAACATTCACAGTGCAGGGAGGAAAAAGTATGTGAACTTTTGGACTTAATAACTGGTTGACCCTCCTTTGGCAGCAATAACCTCAACCAAACGTTTCCTGTAGTTGCAGACCAGACCTGGACAACGATCTGGAGTAATTTTGGACCACTCCTCTTCACAAAACTGTTTCAGTGTAGCAATATTCTTGGGATGTCTGGTGTGAATCGCTCTCTTAAGGTCATGCCACAGCATTTCAATCGGGTTGAGGTCAGGACTCTGACTGGGCCACTCCAGAAGGTGTATTCTGTGCTGTTGCAGCCATTGTTTTGTTGAATTACTTATATGCTTTGGGTCATTGTCCTGTTCACCCATCACCCATCCTCTGCGGAGCTTCAGTTGGCGGAGAGATGGTCGTACGTTTTCCTGCAAAATGTCTTGATAAACTCTGGAATTCATTTTCCCATCAATGACAACAATCCGTCCAGGCCCTGAGGCAGCAAAGCAGCCCAAACCATGATGCTCCCTCCGCCATGTTTTAAAGTGGGGATGAGGTTTTGATGTTGGTGTGCTGTGCCTTTTCTTCTCCACACATAGTGTTGTGTGTTCTTCCCAAACAACTCAATCTTGGTTTCATCCGTCCACAGTATATTTTGCCAGTAGTGCTGTGGAACATCCAGGTGCTCTTTTGCAAACTTCAAACGTGCTGCAATATTCTTTTTGGACAGCAATGGCTTCCTCCGTGGTGTCCTCCCATGTACTCCATTCTTGTTTAATGTTTTCCTTATTGTAGATGTGTCAACAAAAATGTTAGCATGTGCCAGAGATTTCTGTAGGTCTTTAGCTGACACTCTGGGATTCTTCTTTACCTCATGCAGCATTCTGCGCTGTGCTCTTGCAGTCATTTTTACAGGATGACCACGCCTAGGGAGAGTATCAACAGTGCTAAACTTTCTCCATTTGTAGACAGTCTGTCTTACCGTGGACACATGAACATCAAGGCTTTTGGAGATACTTTTGTAACCCTTTCCAGCTTCATGCAAGTCAACAATTCTTGATCGTAGGTCTTCTGAGAGCTCTTTTCTGCGAGGCATGGTTTACATCAGACAGTGTTTCTTGAAACCAGTAAACCCAAAACAGGTGTGTGTTTTTTAAGGGCAGGACAGCTGTCAGCAACACATCCAATATCATCACACTGATTGGAGTCAAGGTTGGCTCACTCCTGGCTCCAATTAGCTCTGGGAGAAGTCATTAAGCTAGGGCCTCACATACTTTTTCCTCCCTGCACTGTGAATGTTTACATGTTATGTGCAATTAAACCATGGCAACATCTAATGTTTGTGTAGTATTATGTTCAGCAGACTGTGTTCTTCTATTGTTGTGACTTAGATGACGTTCAGAGCACATTTTATGCCCAATTCATGCAAAACTTCACGTAATCCCAAGGGGTTCACATACTTTTTCTTGCAACTGTATTTAATTTGCTCCGCTGATCTGAAGGTCCCGGCAAAAAAAACATTTGCCAGGATCTGCTGATCAGATTGTGCTGCGGTGAATAACAGCACAACTGGGATGGCAGGCGCGTGCCCTCTACCCGGAAATGCTAGAACATGTACAACATGATTCAACGCAGCCGGTCCGCACTGTCATCATCTCTGTACAGTGCATGGTCTGCAACTGGATAAAAAAGCTGTTTGACAGTATCACATTATGAGTCTATCCTTTCTCTCTCTCCATGCTTCATTTATGATGTTTTGTGGAGTTGTGATACATGTCCTAAGGGGTTCATCTGACAATTACCCTGGATAGTCCTCA